AACACTAGTTGAATCCCCCTGATGAAAACTATGACTAGATACCTGAGAATAATTGACGTGAAAAATGAGAATGAAAATATTTGTTCCATAAAAATTTTGCCTGACTGACTGATTAAGATCAGCGTCTCATAAAAAGTTGGGGGAAAGAATGAAATATTGGGTTGAGATTTATCATAAAACTGACCGGGGTCTTGCGTCATTTTTAGACAGTAGACACGCCTTCCAACCTGGACAGGAATAGACAAGTACCACGCCTTACCTCAAAACGTTGAAAACCTTTTTTATTTGTCTTTGCCGACAATGCTAGTCATTTCAGATGATAAAGATAGAATAATTTAACAATTGGTCTATTTTAATTCCCCCCCCCCCCTCTCCCTCCATTTATCCCTTTCTTTCCCTGTCTTCCTGTCATGCCCTTATTTGATCTGATATCTTTTCAGATGTTGTACAAAGAACATCATCTACAATTTTAACTAATTTGAACAATTAGAGCAGACAAGGCTCAGTACTACTTACTACAGACTCAAGCAGTTTAAAGGCACTGACAACGATGGATTTACTTTCCAGTTTGTTTTCCTTTTTCTAATCTTAATTTTCGTGGATTTTTTATTTGAGCCTTGTTGCATTCGTCTTGTATTTTGTGTTTTTAATTTATATTACTATATTCGTTGTGATAAATAATTCTCCATCCTCGCGTGTCATTAATTCTGTATATTTTAAGTCTGTTTCTTTGTTTTGGAAACAAGGTCTCTAATAACTTTAATTACACTTTGGACAAAAAAGATTTAGGAGCTAAGAAGGCGGGGAGGGGGGGGGGATACAACTTTACAGTAGATTGGCATATTGATAATAAATCTCTAGCATTTTAAAACAAAAGTCTTAATGTTAAAGGTTTGAACTTGTTTCTGATAATTCTTATGTGTTTTCCTGCAATAGAAATGCGCAATTCACAGTAGAGAAACCACAATTAAAAATTATTAGTATTCAAAATTTAAAATATTCTTTTGTTGCAATCATTCTAGTCATGAAGCGACCGTACACAGTGGAAAAATTTCACGCCTTGCAAGGTGAAAATGGGGGTGGGGGGGGGGAATCATCCCCCTTGTTGAGAATGCAAGGGGGAGTGGTAGGGATATGTTTTTAAGACATTAGGTAGCACTGCGGGTGTTTTCCAAATTATGGCCGAAAAAAAGCCTATTTTGGCTCGAAATAGGCTATTATCGACATCATGACGATGGTAATTACTAGGTTTGAGGGCCCAACCTNACACCTCCTGCAATTTATATTCTACATTAGGGGTTTTTACAGGGCTAATATATTACCTATGGTTTCTAAATGTATGAATATAATATGAATATGTTTAGGGGTTTCTGTGTAAAGAATGGTCCTCACTGCGCCTTCGCTCATGGTGCAAATGATCTCAGACCTCCCGTTTACGATATTAAGTAAGCTTTAAATTTGAATTAATTAATAATTGAAGTGTAGAATGTATAAGGTCAAAGTGAAATGTAGAATATAAAGCGTAGAATGGACATATTAGAAACTGTCGAATGTATAACAAGAAGTGTAGAATGTATTGTCTACTGTAAAATGTATAATGTTTTATTTAAACTGTAGAATGTATTGTCTAATATAAAATGTAGAATGTATTATATAAACTGTAGATTGTATAGTGTATATTGGATATATCCTTAATGATGAATTTTAACAGATCTCACTTTAATGGTGATATAAATTGAGACTCACACTGATAATACTCCACACCCTACCTATCCTACTCTCTAATACCCCCTCCTACTTTTCACTAGGCCCCCCCCTCCTCCCCAGATGATTTAACGGTGTCAACTGTTCAAATGTTGAAAAATCGCTGGTGCTGTCGCCTGTCACTTTTAAAAAATTTCAAGGAAAAATGTGAAAAATTTCAAACTTTTTGTTAAAATTTAAAGAATTTGACTGGGTAGTGGGTAGCCCAGTTTTCAATGCAACTGGTTAGTTTTCACAACGAATTTCTGGGTTGGGAAAAAAAGGAATGCAGTTTAAAAATTTTTTAAAATCTAAATCACTTATCTTTTGGGTGAAAATCCTTCCGTCTTATGAGTCGTTTGCAAAAGGACCTTCATAAGAAAAAACGTTGAAAAAAACCTCCTTCTTTTTCTGACCATAAAGTTGAAGATTTATTTGTTAAAGTTTCTACCGACAGTTCACCGCCGCTGGGGGGGTCCCTCCCCTCTCTCTTGAGATCAGACAGTATTTCTATCTATAGACAATAAATAAATGAATAAATCATTTATAACATCGATTTTCTAAACTGGATTTCACCACCTTACCTCAAAATTTAATTCTGAATAGATGAATAGATGAATAGACATCTAGATTGTACACTATTGTACATTGCACATACATTAAGACTTGTAGAATGTACGTACATTGTACATAGACTGTTAGTGTCCAAAATATAGTAGAATATAATTATATTTAATACATGAAGTATATTCACTTTTCTTATCTATATTTGTAAAGGTTTAACTAGATAACTAGATAAGCATATTAAACATACAAACACTACTCTCATTATCTTATACAACACAATGCACTTGATCCCCCCCCCCCCCGACACTTTATTTCTCTTTCTTCGTTTCTTTTTAATTCTTTTTTTCCTTCATAGCATTTGTTTATTTTTATCATTTTCTTTCCTAATCTTGCATTTTCCAGTTTTTTTTAAATTTCCATTTTTAAAAATACTATTTGTTTACTCAGGGAGATGCAGGCTATAGAAAATGGTGAAGTAGAAGACAACCGAACAGGTCCAAACAGTTTAGATAAGGAGAGATCTCTACTCAACGATGATCCTAAATGGTTAGACACACCCTACGTTCTAACCAACTACAAAACCGAACCATGCAAGAAACCTCCCAGGCTCTGCCGGTAAGATACCCCCCCCCCGGGAAGACACTAGACAAATTAAAGCGGTTTTTGAGAAAATTTCTTATTTTTAAAAATCCTTTTTTAATCAAATCCTGGGATTCTCTTAGGGCTACCCCCCTTCCCTTCCGATTTTCTTTCATTTAACTCTCTGTGATTCTTGGAGATTTTGCCATGAAACTTATTAGAACTCTATCAATGTCAGCAGTTTTTCACGGAACATTAATTTTCTCCGCCGCCAAAGGATTTATTTTTTTATCAGATTTTTTTTATTTATTCATCTCTTTTTCAGGCAAGGTTATGCATGCCCGCAGTACCATAATAATAAGGATCGAAGGAGGAGCCCAAAAAAGTACAAGTATAGGTGAGAAATAATTCAAGAAAATATAAATCTATGTTTGAAAAAATAAATAATTTAACGTTTGGAGGAACCTTGAATATTTATTGCCATTTGACCTGGCGCGCCTAAATGGATTTTTCTATTCAGGTCAACCCCTTGCCCTAGCGTAAAAACAGCTGATGAATGGGGGGACCCGGTCAACTGTGATAGCGGAGACAACTGCCAATACTGCCATACCAGGTAATATTTTATTATTGCTCATTTATTCTAATTATTGCTCGTTTATGCTTATTTATGCTCATTATTGCTCATTTATGCACATGTTGTACTTTCGGGTTTCTGCGCTTTTATGTTTGCTATCTATACTTAAATAATATGTTTAAACTCCTGAAAATGTCCGATTTCTTGAAATATTTTTTTGAATGTGAAATTATCAATCTTCGTTTTTTCTTTCGGCTTTTTCTAACGTGGCTATTTTCTTCAATATTATAATTCTCGTTTTTGTTGATTCTGGAATATTTTCTGCAATATTATAATTCTCGTTTTTGTCGATTCTGGAATATTTTCTGTGCTGAAATTTTATCTGTTTTATAAGTTGCGTCTGCCCTTCATAAAACTGCAATATTTAACTCCCAAGGCAGTCTGTCTCGGTTTCTGTGGTTGTCTTTATTAATACCTAACTGCCTTACCGTGTTGCAAAAATATACGGTTACGTGTAAATCCATAGATGAGTCATCGATAGTTAAACTTGCGGAATATGATGCAGGATAAATTTCTCATGAATATATATAAATTTAAGTTTTTATATATTTATGACATGAAGCAATATATTATTGAATTGTATTGAAAATTACAGTCCAATTGTATACTAGAGTATTGTTGTGATATAAAATATTATTTTGCGGTGATTACCCTCGTAATATACAGTCAACCCGGCAATTACCGGATACAGGGCGTATCATTAACATTCTAATGTGTAATACAAGGTTATCATTACATAGTCATATATCACCCCTCCCCCCCATCCCATTCCATCTTTAACTGCATCAAGTCTTCAATTTTTTTTAAAAGCTAAGTTGATCGAAAATTGTCAAAACGCTCGACCCCTTTTTGATTTCGAAATTTGTATTATATGTTTTTTTTTATCTGTAAATATAAGGTCGAATCTATGTAGCCGTTTTTAATGAAAATTCTTAAATCCACCTTGGTCCAGTTCTTTAGTTTTCTTTGATACATTTTAAAAACAACTAACTTTAAACACATTTTTGTTACCCATATCAATATGTTTTGAAAAATAAGAAATCGACCTTTCCATATGATAACTGATTTTTTGAATCGTTAATTACTGAATGAGTTTGGGGTTTTTTAATGTTGCTTATTTGCTATTTTTTCCTGGTGCAAAAAGAATCGACATTTTCTATGAAGTAATTTCACCCTTAGTTAATATAAACGGATGTGGTTTAATGTTTTTGATGAGAGGGGGGTGGGGTATTAAAATACATGTTTTCTTGAAATCTCTGCTTCTATAAGAATTGTGACTGTTGGATACGCTTGATGCCGTTTGTCACGGTGTTTGATAGATATCAGTGTTGCCCAATCTAATTTTATTTTTTCTCCATCCATCTTTATTTAAAAGACTCTAATCATGAGAGTCTTAAATATTCTTTTCCTTCGAGTTTGGAGATATGATGAATGTGTTTAGTTAGCTATCTTTTCAGTTAATTAGCTTGTCTATTCATTAATCCATTCATCATGTGTCCATCCATTATCAGTGATCCATTCATAATTAATCCATTACTAAACATTTGAAAACTACATTTTTTTATTTGCGCAACTATTCATTTTTTTGTCTTAATTTTTTTCTCGATTCATTTTATTTTAATTTTCAATTCAGTAATGGATCCTTTAGGTCTACTGAACTGATTCGTTTAATATCAGTTAATTTTGTTTTGAAAACACTTTTTTTAAATTTTAAAAATCTTTGTCAGGACCGAGCAGCAGTTTCACCCTGAGATCTATAAATCTACAAAATGCAATGACATTCAGAACACCAGCTACTGCCCAAGGGGCGCCTTCTGTGCATTCGCCCATATTGAACGTAAGTTTGCTTAGAAATACTTAATATTTAAGTGAAAGCGACTGTAGATCCGCCACTCAGAACGGTTCTCTTAAAGCTTAGTCAAGGATGATAATGAGATCTCCATGTTTTTTACTTTAAATATTATATATTCAAGTTTTTTTCTTAAATAGACTTCAATTTTTAATTATAAGAATTGAAGCTGGAACAACCACGACATTTAAAGGGGTCCGTTGAACTGTGCATTCCCATCATCTTAAAATGTAGGATTACAATGACGGTTTTACTAAATATTCATGATTTTCTAGATGGATAATCGGCATTACTACTAAGACGGTTTTCCTAAATTTCTACATGGATAATTGGCATTATTACTAAGACGTTTTCCTAAATTTCTAGATGTATAATCGGCATTATTATAAAGACGGTTTTACTAAATTTCTAGATGGATAATCGGTATTTTTCTGCTCTAGTTCCTCTAATGAATTTATGTATGCAGTATGCATGTACGAATGCCCTTTATTGAAGGAACCATTAAAAATTTTACAACCTTAAGCATGAAAATTGCCCTAAGTCCAGTACAGCCGTACATTTATTGCAACCACTTACGGACAACTTGCAGTTTGGAATTTACAAGAAATTGTTTACTAATTTTGATCAGAAATGGTTGTTGCAATTTTCAAATGTTTAATGTCAACAAAATCGAGGTCAAAAATCGAACCATAGTTTTTGTATAAAGAAATATTCTTAAACTATCTTATCTTATTTTTAATGCCAACAAATTTTTATTCAATTTTGATAGAATTTATCACACCTAATATTTTCCGTTGTATGGTGATTAAGTGACTTTATCGCCCTACAGCAGGGCGAAAAAGTATTTTTTCACCCTGCTATTCAAATTTCATACCTAATTTGTCTCATTGTAGGGTGATAAAGTTACTTAATCGCCCTACAACAGGGTGATTTAGTAACTTTATCGACGTGCTTTTAAATAATTTGAGTAAAACTGAAAAAAAAACTATATATGTTATTTAAATGGGTATCATGCGTGCTAAAAAGTTTTTGCTCACTACGTTCGGAATAATTTTTATCTTAAACCAACTAGAAAAAAAATAAAAATCCCGGCAAGAACTTTTTCGCACTTAATAATACCCATAACAATAGATATTTAAAGATTATTTTTTTAATTGTTATGTTCTTGAAGTCTGAGGGTTAACTAGGTTAAAAAGATCTGCTTCATTATCCACTATAAAGGTTGTTTATTTTCTAGCCCGAATCTGGTAGAAAAACTAATCCATTAAATCAGATATAATTGCCCGGAGCCAGACCTGGATAAAATAAACAAATGAAACCGTTTGCCCGTTCTATAAACAATCCCCGGGCAACGTTTAAAAACTTTTAAAGGCCCCCAACATTGTTCTAAAGAGAGAATTAAAAGATATTCTCTCTCCCCCCCCTCCCCCCCCCCTCACATTTAATAAAATGTTCTTTTTCTTAGATTAACGTTAACTATTCAATGATGGTTTTTAATATTCAACGATGGTTTTTAACCGAATTTTATTATTTCGCAGAGGAGACATTGGATCATGGAGCTGGTGGAAACTTTATGGATTTCCATCCATTAGATCATTCAGACTCTTCATCAGACAGGAGTAGTAACAGTGGAGAGGTAAAAATAAAAGTTAGAAATGATAATTCTTTAAAAAAAAAGATATTCAACCTTTTCCTCATCATGTTAGTTTATCAATAGTTGCACTCGAAATTGTTTGTTTTGGGAGAAAGAATGTAGTACACTAAAGTGTAGACATTTCCATTTTAGGTTGGAATGTTTTTAAAACAAACTTTTTTAGATCGGAGAATATCCCTGGGGGGAGAAATCCCGGGCACCTGGCTCCCACCTCAAGAATCTACAGAATATTGTAAGAAAACAATTAGAAACTTTTACTTTTAATCATCTAAAGTTGGGACTTATTATATAAATATTACTCGTGAAATTAGTTTAGTTCTGAACATCAATTTAGGGTAAATTAATTATTGTAAAAAATAAAAACAATTTTTCTTTTTAGAACGGTGACAGTATTAACGGGAGTTGTTCTATCCCCACCTCCCCAACGTATAAAATGCCCCCCTCTCCCACCTACAAGATCAGGACACCCTCAGGGGACGCTTCAAGGCTTAGAAATCAACTTCAATATATTGGTGAGTTGCGGATTTTTTTTTCAGTTTTTTACGAACTTTTCCACGTTCAGTGCATTTTTCTTGCTGTGGTTTTACCGGTCTCTAGTAAATAGGAAATGATATGTATTCCTTAGGTATGTTTAAACCTGGTGTAATTGGTATGTTTATCATTGTCGGACTTTTTGCAAACACATAATTTGTATTTTTCTTACTTTTATTATGATTGATTGAGGTTTTGGATTGGCGAGGACAATGGATTTGGATAAAACAACTAAATATGTCTACGTTAATTTGGTTTTAAATTGGATGGGACCGTAACTTCCTTTTGTAATATAATACCAAATGTGAAATGTACATTAACAGTACATTTAATTACTATTGTACACTACGGTAAGTGAGTTTTTATAAGTGCATTTGGTGTGAATGGAATAAGATATTTTTATTATTATAAATATTGCAATCAAAGTACGACTATATAAGAATAAGATACTCAACCGTGAAATTAAAACAATTAAGTATTATTATTATTTTTGTAATCCATCATAATATCGCCCTGTCAAAGGATTTCAGAGGTTAATAACTGATAATTATCATAGAACTTGTGAATTATATTTTCAAATATTTCATAAACCCACTTCAGGTTATTTTAAAATTATTTTATCTGCAATATTTGACACACAATGTACATTCAATATTTTATGAGATCCGGGGATATTTTATGTCCATTTATTTTTATCATTCTTGTAATACTGGTATATTGTTTATGTATTTATGAGAAATCAATAGCCTCCATCTACCCCATTTACGACCCTGTTAAAATTAGTTGAATCATTTCTCAATAAAACCAAACTGGTGTTGAAAACTAAATTTTGTCCCGATTTTATAATTCCAGGAAAACGGTGTTAAATGACTTTTGTCAAAGTAAAACTCTAAATCATGAAGGAGAAGTTATGTGCATGACGGGAGAAAATTACCCTTCTCCTCTCCCCTATATTTAAAACTTTACTGAAGGTGTATTCGGTAATTCAATTTGGAAGCTTGCACAAAAAATCCAACATTTCATCTTCATTGAGTCAAAAATATTGTGATGATTCACACAGAAAACAAATTTGAATCAAAGACCCCTTCTAAAACAATTAATTCAATGTCAATTCACCTTCTATTTAATATTGCGGTTTTCCGAAGTAGCTTACGGATCTATGCCGTAAAAGAAAAATAAGAAATTTTATGTTTATAGAGAGAGTAAAAACGACGAAATCTTCCTAATGTGTCTATTAAAAGGCACCGTTGATAATCGGTCATCATTCTTTTTTTTTACGTCGACAGTACCTATAACCTAGTATTTTCTAGAAAATGACCCTAGCCTGGGACCTGGAGAGAAATCTGCCCGGCGCGCTAGCCTACTGGTTGAGATGGGTTTATCGATGAGTTCTGGTTCAAATCTTGTTTCTACAATTAATAATTCTCTCTCAAATATCGGGTCCAGTTTATTCTCAACTTCAAACCAAATGGAATCTGTAGGTGAGTGAGTGTCCAGCAATGTTTTTTATTCTAAAGGGACTATCGTTGTAATGTTAAGTTACCTTTCATTGATAGAGGGGCATGTCCGATTCACAGAGGTTATCTTAGAACCATTATCTTAATACTGGGAAAAATATTGTCGTTTTTCTACCTTCAAAAACATATTTTCTTGTAGAAAAATATGATTTAAAAATCTTATGCAAATCAGACAAAGCTTTAAAATGTACCGTGGTGAATCTGACATACTGTTCTACAAAAGGGGAGAGTCGCTTCAAATTGCGACTACAGTCGCTTTAATATGAATTTATTTCAAAAGCTATAATAAGAAAATTTATGTAAATTTGGTTAATCGGGCCAAAGTATTTCTAAAACTTGATTTCTTCCGTATTCAAATATTGGCTGAGTTCGGAATTCGATTATAGCTTGAGCCTGAAAACAAATAGAAGTTTTATTCGAGGTTTTTTATTGAATTCTTGCCCCGTCTTCCAACTTATTCTTTATTTTAACTTTGAGACAATCTAGGAAGTGTTGAAGTTTACATATTTTAAATAAAAACGACAAACTTTTACCACCACCGCCCCTATCCTCCCTCCCTACGTCCTTGGTTATATGTCTGGTATTATTTCACAACCAAATCGTAAAATTGGTTCAATTTTCAATTATTTGAGTTGAAAAAGCTCTCAGTTCTTTTGTATTAAAGATGGGGGTTAGAGGGGTAATTTTACAGAGGAAATAATGAATTTTGCAAATTTTGTTTTCGCACTGCACGACACGCCAGGGCTTGCAAAAATATTAACATGGGGGGGCGTATACTACTAGCTCTAGAACATTAACCCAGTACTACAAAAAACGAAAACTTTATATTTTTTTAACGCCTAAATTGGAGATTGAACAATTAAAAGATTTTTTTTAAATGGCGGNCCCTGCTTCTTCCTAACAATTTAAGTCTATAATTAAACCATTTTAAATTGGTGTCCTGAAGTTTCAAACCATTAAAATTTGCTCAATTTATTACACTCCCTGCAGTCTCCCTCCAGTATAGGTTGGTCATAAAATCTGGAATTTAAGGGAATTAAATTTCTCTATGTAGTGAATAGATCCCGGACCCTTAGGATAAATGATTTTGGAGTTTCATTTTATTTTCCAATATATCCCCCTCCCCCCTCCTTAAACTTATTCTGCTCAAACCCCCTGATATTTTTTTAGAGTTGAGATTCTAAAAATTCTCCATATATGGATGAACGGTAATTTAGATGTCTTGTAGTAGCCCAAAAAAGAGCGGAGGGTGTTCAAAATTATCCCAAACCAGTTTCAAATTTGTTATGACCTGATATTATGCAAATATTGAAACAAAACCTGTATTTTTATTCTCGAGTAAAGATAGCGTTTAACAACAAATTGTAAATAAAATTGAAGCATTAGTATCCTGTAGATGTCAACCCCCCCCCATTTATTTTTATCATTCTTGTAATACTGGTATATTGTTNAATCCCTCCTCATATTGTTTATTGGGTCTAACAAGCCCCCTTGAAACCTGCCCATGCCCTACAATTTGTAAGGTTTATGCTGGGGTGTAAATTTTTAGTAAATTATCCTCCTCGCAGATACAAAGTCAACGTTTTAACATACTTCAGTAAAAAAATCTACATTTAAGATTTACTATTTTACTGATGTTGGACCTCAACTCTCTCCCCTCCCCCCACCCCCATATTGGATCACCAGGGGTTGCATCTTGTTGTAAAATGCATTATTGCTTTTTTCCTCATCCGTTCACACTCCACCGTCCCGTGTTTACAATGCTTATCTAAGTTTTATTCTTTTCAACTCAAATGGTCCATTCTAAAACTGGTGTTTTCAGGGACTGGATTTTTTATTCGTCAATTGTCAATTTTAAGACTTCATGACAACATTTTACTTCATTTAAAGGGACTGTTTGTGTTTTACCAATTTATTTTATTTGTTCAGGAAACGGTTTTGAAGAGATGAGCATCAATGATCTATATGAAGGTGGGAAGAGCAGGAAGAGCAGTGGGTTTAGTGAAGGGGAGAAGAGCAGGAATTGCTCCGGGATGGATGGAGGAGACAAGTCTAGAAACTGCTCTGGGAATTCTATATCTCAGGTTAGAACAATTTCTAGTCAATATTTACTGAAATTTCTCACCCATCTGCATACAATTACAATGCAATAATGGAAATCCTATGTTTAAGTTCACTTTGTTTTATTAACAAGAAAGTTTCGCCCTTTATGCCAATTAGCATTTAAGTGTTAATTCGTGTCAAATCCTTACCTTTTAAGTTACCCATAGACTAGTTTATTCCTGGTAATTAAAAACAGAAAATTAACTGCAATATATTTTTTAGGGTTTAGTTAGCTCTGGATTTCTTCCATCTAATCCTGTCAATATTCCTGGACAAGACTCTTTCTTAGACAGGTTAGTTAGTTTCTAGATGGGGCTTCAACCCCCCCCCCCCCCCCCGTGCAATTGAATTATGGAGTGGCTAATCTTGTACATTCTTATCTGAGGGGGGGGGGGCACTTGTGCATTTTTTGGTCTACTGAACTTACTATCTTTACATCTTTTGCATTTTATCTCTTTAACCCTTTCTAAAGGGAGTGAAAAATGCCGACTAGTTTGATTTATTACTTAAGCGCCTGAGCAGCGAGGCCTGGTTACGCACCATTCCATTTCTACCTCCAGAGATTCGTATGGTATAATATGGTATAATTCTGGATTGCTGTGGGGCAGATATAAATGTTTAAACTACTTACTTAATATTATTTCGGTGGTTTAATAACCATCTCCCCGCTCGGTTGAAAAATACCCTGAAAACCTGGGTGGGAGGTCTTCTCAAATACTAGAGCTTAATGCAACTTTAATCAAGGATTAAGTTTGAGACCATTTTTCATCTGGGTCTCGATTATACAGAATACATACTTAGATATGGGGGGGGGGGATTAAACACCCTGAGATTCAAGATGGAATTAAATCCCCCTTGAAAACCGATTAAAGCTCCCCATGTCAAATTCTTGACAAATTTTGTATCCTGAAATCAGTCGGGTGTAAAATTAGTTGTAACCCCCTTTTCTAGAAAGTGTAGGAGGAAGGGGTCCCCCACCCCCCCATCGGTCTATTGTTACTGGTCAAACACCTTGTGTATTGATGGTTAGGTTGTATACAGTCTCCGAACTATGATTGAAACTGACAAGACTGGGCCAAAGTAAACTCGTTAACAAATAAACTAACTCCTGACTCCCTTCCTTCATTCCAGGGGGTATATTCCCCATATCCAATTATCCATCGTCCTTATGTTTTTACACTTATCATGTATGTGTCCCTTTTTACAGTTACTGGGTGAAGCAAAATGTTAATTGTTTTATACGAGGTCAGGGTGTTTCAGTTCTATTTACATAATTTTTTAACTGTTTCATTTTTTAAGAACACCCTTAACATTGTGCTTCCCGGTCCCTTCATTTAAAACTTACTGTAGAGTGTAGACGATAGTAAATAATTTTATCTTAAAGAATCTTCACGGCTAATTAAGTTTCGCCCGTTCTAATACAAAGTTTTTTTTCCTATTTTCACTTTTAGAATTTTTCTCGTAATACTTATAATCTTTAAACAATCTATTTTTCTAATATAAAATTTATTTTTATGAAAATTTCTGATGTTTCAAGTATATTTTCATGTTAAGATGTTTATTGAGAATATTTAAACTTTTGAAAAACTGAAATCCTTCTTCTGACATGTTGATGCATGTTCGTCTGAAACTTCGAACATCTTCATAATTACAACCGTCTCATTTTTTCAAATTGTAAACTTCTTTTTATTTGTAATTTGGGACAATTAAACTCATTATGTTTTCTTGCTCTTTGTGCGCTTGCAATTCTCTTCCTTGTCCTAATAATCATCTTGCCTGGAAACCTCGGGGACGACAATTCAAGCGCGCGCGCAGGGGTTCTTGTTTGGCTGATTTGTTTGTTTCCAATTAACGACAAAACTAGTTCACCGATTAGACTAGACTAGAATTTGTGTCAATTAAGTAATAAATTGATCAAACTTGAAATCAAACCAAATCATATTGCATCAAAAAGAACGAAAAAAACTCACTAGGTCAATACCCAGATTACAAAACTAAAACCATTGTCAAGCAAACCTTGGTATTTTGAAATGGGACATGACTTTAATTTGGTCGTGTGGATTTGGATTGGATTGGATTGGATTGGATTGGATTGGATTGGATTGGATTGGATTGGATTGGATTGGATTGGATTGGATTGGATTGGATTGGACTTGAACCCCAGGGAAAATTTAAAAGCTGCCATTAAAAAAAATTAGAAAAATAGCTGTTCGCAAATGGCCTGATAAGCATTTAAAACCTTGATATTTTAGAAATGACAGTCTTGGCGGCCTCCTGACTGGTCGAACATCTGACCTCGGTGATAGCGGCTACCTGGCCGGCCTCAATAATACTCTCGGGTTCCAGGGGGGACTCTTCGACTTCGGACCTCAAACTAATAATTCTGTCAAGGTGAGATAGTTCAACAAATTTTTGTCTGTCAACGCAAGTATATAAAAAAGTAAAATTTGTAATTCACTTATGTAAAAATGAGAGATATGTAAAGCTGGTTTTCTAACATGTTAAACTTTGCTATTTTCCTTTTGTTTTGCTGCGTTAATTCAAAAGTCACAATAAAACCCTTTGGTTGATTGCTGGGCCACTGTAATGTTGTATTGAATTAAGGGGTGTGCTAATAAAGTTAGGTACTTTTACAAGCAATAACTTCCCAAGTCTGTCTTAGCCGCATTGCTCGGGAAATTTCCACTTCCGGAAGTCGTTATTGGGAAAATGTCTTTGGGAAAATACCGAACACCATGCTCATCCATCCAGCTGTGCAATATTCTTTTTTTTTTAAATTACAGCATAAACGTGTATATAGTACAGCATGTCCCTCAAGCATGAATATTCGTGAGCTTTCACCATTTCAATAGATTTTCCGTCTGCGGACACTTCTTATATTAGTTTTTTCCTTTGCTTTGGCCAGACGTCGGCCTCTATTCCTAGACCCTATCCCTCTTCCCTCCTTGTAAATTCCCCCCAATCTCAGAATTTCACCTTCGTCTTGAAAACCCCAGGAGTTTTCTTGCTACCCTATAGCTACCGCTTGAGCTAGTTTATATTTCTAAAAGTTGCTGTCAGTCTCGATATATTTTTCATTTCAGTTTTCCTTCAAGAATGTTTCACGGATTTTTGTATTCAAAATATAAAAGTGTCATTTTTTTATCAAACACACACCCTTCCTACTAATAACTTATCTAGTGGGTGTCTTTGCAAAATAAAACATAAAATTGTCTTAATATTCGTAATAACTAAATAAACAAGCTTACCTAGATATCCATGGCTAATCTTGTACATTCTTATCTGAGGGGGGGGGGGACTTGTGCATTTTTTGGTCTACTGAACTTACTATCTTTACATCTTTTGCATTTTATCTCTTTAACCCTTTCTAAAGGCAAACAATATTCAAACCCTCCTCCGTCTCCTTCCAACTTAGAAAATAGTTCAAACTGAAATAATATTAAGTGGTCTCATAGCAATCTGTCCTTAAACGTTAACGCTCTGCTAGTTTTCCAGTTTTCTACGGTTACACATTTCTGTCTTTTCTACTTAACTTTTCTTAGGCTTAGAATTCACTTAAACAAAATCTCAAGAGGTGTGTGTAATAATAATGATTGAATCAGTGCTTCTTAGGATCATTTTAATTTTCATGCGGATCCGGATCTCTTTTTTTTCAATTGTTTTGAATTTGGATGTCATAGTAAATTTGCTTTGTTTTTTGCAGTTTTTGTTTGATATTTTGCCCATTGGATCCGGATTTGTGGATCCGCATACTTTGGCGGATCCGGATCCAGGAAGTTAAAATCTTGCGGATCCAACGGATCCGGATCCGAATCCTAAGCACTGGATTGAATCATGATGTAAGGGCAGTTTCAAGTTTTAAAAAAACAATTTCATGTAAATTTTAAGTCTGAACTCAACTGGGGGAGGGGGAACAAAAAAGATGTTTTTATGTCCTCAATAATTTAAGGAAAGAAAAAGATTTTTTTAATATCACATTTTAATTGTGGATTTAAAAAATTTGAAATCAAAAACTATTAATTCCTTAGTGTATGTTTACAATTTTGCAAAGTATACTTTTGTACCCATATTATTACAATTAGTTATATCTTAATTCAGGATGCTGAAATAGCTCGTCTACGTGAGGAGCTAGGAGCAGCAAGGGCTAAATTAAGCAGCTGGGAAGAGAGCATGATCCAGGTAAAAAATGTGATTTAATTTAAAATTTATATTTTCTAATCACTTTTAAAATAAGCTTTTGAAATCCTTTGAAATCCTTTGAAATCCTTTGAAACCCTTTGAAACCCTTTGAAATCCTTTGAAATCCTTTGAAATCCTTTGAAATCTCATTTGAAGCAAAACAAAAATAAATTTCATATCTCACATTTCCGAATTCTAAACATGTCTGTCAAAACAAGTTTATTTTGTTCTTCTGTTGCCAAACTTGTCAAATATCGTTATATTACATGTTTGACCCCCCCCCCCCCCTCCGGTCTATATTTGTGGATGTGTGTCCTCTCAAATATTATTATGTTTGCACACAGACTCCGTAGCACCAGACATCCTGAAGGGGGGGGGGGGGAAGGGTAATCTAATAAACCCGTCAAAAATTCGTTAACGATTTTAAGAAATAAAAAATATTTTAAGTTCTTTTTACAAAAAATATACTGACAATAAAATAATATATTTTAATGTCTCCCTCCATACTCAATATGTCTGATTAACCAAGGCTCAGCTCGAGACTAAAAAAAAATAACGGTTTTTCTCAATTTAAGTGTTGTGAATCGGGCACTTAATGCTTTTAATTTAATTTTAATTGAAACTCTCTTTAGTCTACAATCCCTCAAAATTATGAGAGAGATAAATGTGCTCTTTTCCTAGGCTCGCACAGCTTGTGATGCATGGAAGAAGGAAGCTGCTATGTCTAAGCAGAAGGCTGAGATGGCGATCAAAGAGAAGGATGTGGCCGTGAACAAGGTCTCCACCCTGCAGAAGGAGGTGATTACACTTAAATGATATTTGTCGCTATATTTGCTATACTCAAAATTGATCATTCCCCTTCAATTCTAATTTTGTAATCCTTGTAACATAGCAACCCGATGTTGTAGACCTTAAAAGTTATGCTAAATCAAGAATTTCAACGAGTAATCAGTCCATTTGCTTTTACGTCAGTAAATAATTTAACTTTAAAAAAAACTATTTATCGGTTTTGCTTTGTTTGATCCTTGGCGTATGTTTAATAAGTTTTTTTGAAGTTATGAAAGCAATTTTGTATATTTCTTGGATTCACCGAATTTTAACCATTTGTGTTTAGATTGAACAGTTGAGTGGCGGACCCCTCCTTCATGCTCTCCGCCGTATCTCCGACCTGCCTTCCCTTCCGCCGGCGATGCTGAAGACGATTGAGTGGCAGCTACGGAAAGATATCGCGGAGGTAGAGCGAGCTAGCAGACAGCAGTCAGAGCAGCAAATATGGCTCTCAAACAATAGGTAGCACTGATTTATTCTTCAACTATTTAATTATCTTTAAAAAGTTGTATTTCCGACTTTATTAAGTTTGTGAGTTTAAAAATAAAATTTATACAATATTACTTGGCATTTTCTTATTGATTGATAAAACCCTTTTTGGATTTTTTTTTAAATTAGCTTCCATGCAATCTAATATTTAGTTATTTCAGGGTTATGGAGAATGTAATTCCTGATTGGTCCCTGGGCCTTAACATGCACCAACCTCTTTACTCATCCATGCAACAGTAATCAGACTGCAGTCATCTGAAATCCTGACATCGATCATCCATTCTTCAAAAATGGCTCCAAATATTACTGTAACTGCAGTAAACATACTCCCCCTGTAACTGCATTAAAAACTGTTCTCCCTGTAACTGCAGTAAGCCCTGCTCCCCCTGTAATTGGAGAAAAAACTTGCACCCCCTGTAACTGCAGTAAAACCATTCCTGTAAATGGAACAGAATTTAATACTGCTCGCCTGGTTTCTATTACTCATTGTTGTTCTCATTTTGATCCAGTGGTTGAGTTTAATCCATCGTGATCCATTTTCTTCCTGATCCCATTTTTTTGGATCCCGTTGTCAATCCGTCGAGTTGATTTTACATCACAGAATCAAGAATTGATCAATCGGAAGCACATCATTGCCAGCGATACAAGTGATTGACAATTGAACACATTAAAATCAAATCTGTGCTTTATTGTACCGTACCGTTGTGTAGTGTACGGTAGTGTACCGTACCTTAGTGTTTACGGTATTGTACCGTACCTTCCAGCACTCTTCACCCCCTAGTTCTAGGTTTTAAATCGCTGAATTCAAGTTTAGATGTAAAATATTAAATGCGCGAATCTAGTTTAGAGACAGTTGGCTAATGGAGTTAAAGTAAAATGAACCTGCCTAGCATAGAGTTCAGATTCGCGCACAGGCGACAAATCGCTCTTATTAAATAGATTTACAACATGTTTCCAATTTATTGCTAAAGCGCACTTCAAGCACATTCATGTGTTTTTCATCCTCCCAGATTGGCGGCCTTCGTTTGCAATATTCGGCTGCCGTTGACCTAGGGAGGGGTTTCGTTTTTAATATTTCTCGTAATTTTACTAGATGTATGTATATTTTTATAGTGAGTGCAGCTTCGGCATTTTTTTTAATAATATCAATCGTTATTGTTTTACAATGATTTAACATGTAACAAAACAAAAGGGGTGCCAACAAATCAAAAAATATTTTTAATTTTTGAATTTAGATTTTTAATTTTTGGCATCCTTGTAGAAACCAATAGTTCTACCTCAAAATTTTTCAAATTTTTACAAAAAATTTAATAATGTTGATTCTGAGGATTTATTGTTAGCCTTGTCTAGCGGTATGTTTGTGTGCGCGTGATGATTATATAGGTTAAATCAATTATAGGTGTTTTAAGAAATTTAGTCATAATCTCTAGTTTAGAACTTTTGCATAAAGAAAAAAATTGGTCACGTAAAATTTTGAAATAAATTTTCACAAATTGAAAACTTGTTTTTATTTTGTTAGCACGGAGAGAAATTTGAAGGCAAGGTAATTTGTAAGTTATCGGAATAAATCAAATAACGTGGATATTTTAATAAGTTTTGTCCAGACGATGGATAAATGGTTTTTAATCATGTATTTTTTTGTTAATCTAGGATCTGAATATTTTTCTCTAGGGATCCAATCCAGATTCCAGGTTAACGTAATTTCTGCCAGTTTCAGGATTGAGAACGATTTTTAGGATAATGCTGGATTTTAAAAACTTTGTGAACCCATATTAAAGCCAAACAAAAAATTTGATTGGTGTCGACGACGTTTCCAAATATTCAGAAAGTTCTAAACGTCCTGCGTTATTTCTTAGGGTTCTTTCGTTTTCTATTCTGTTAGTTTTCATTTGCCACCGTAAAAACATTCTAACTTAACAATTTTATTCGTTAGATTAGTTTGACCCTGTTCAACCTTTATATAACATTCTTCTATGGTCTTATTTTTTATATTTAAACTTAAAAGTAAGTTACAAAAAAATTCTGTTACAGAATCATGTCTATAAAATTTTACAGTTTAAGGAACAATTTGGTAGCAGCTAATTATTATAAAGTAGCAGCTTTTCTTGTAACGTAAATTGCTTCTATGAAGAAGCAGCTACTGGGGCTGCTACAGCTGCAGCTGGTGGTGGGGCTACAGGAGCTAGAGGGAAGAAAGTCATATCTTTCCAAAATCTGATCCCGTGATCAACCATCTCAAGGATAAACGCGTTCTCCTTAACGAGGATTAATTTAAGTTAGTAATTTGACTTTACAAAAGACGACATTCACAAACTTGGTTGATCAAATAATTATTTTTACCTTGATCCAGTCAGAGTAGGTTTTTTTAAATCCATCTTCCCCCTGTTCTCTAACATAGGCCCCAACACAAACTAAGCATATTTTTATTTCGGTTTTGGATTAAATTTTTTTTACGTTATTCATACTTCTTTATATTCTTTATTTATTGCAATATTTTAATTTGACAATTAGATTTAACCCCGGGTATTTCCGAATGAACATAACTTATTTCAAGAAGTTTGATGCATGTTATTTGAATAAAGAATAATATTGGAGAAAGTCATAAAAATCCTTCTTTAAAATCTCAAAAGCAAGGAATTTCCTGTTCAAAAAATCATATCATTTTTTGTTTTGAATTATAGAAGATCGACGAAAATAGTTAAAATAAAGAACAAAATGCACCTTAACGTTATTTACTTTATTTTTTCACGGGTGGCCGTGGGAGGGGGGGGGGAGCTGATTGTTGCTTGCTAAATTTATTGTCAACTTTATTATTCCTGGTTTTACCTGAGTAGAAATATCTTTCCAAAGCTTGGATAGTTTTTAGTTTGAGTTCCATAGTCTCACCGCAGGTCTCATATTTATCCTTTAAACCAGAACTATAGATTTATCAGGGATGTTCTGGGAATACTTATAGGAAAAGGGACTATAGGATTTCAGGGGAATATATAAGCTTAATTTCAAGGTACTGCCTTTATTCAAAGACAGTTATGCCCCATTTTCAACGGTACCTTTGAAATTGTTATATTCTGATAATTTCTACATTATTTCTGAGAAGCAAGAAATACAAGTTTTATTTTGGAGAGAAAGCACACCAGAAAATAAACAGTTTAAATAAACAAGTAACTAAATTACTAATTCATGACTTGACCAGACAAAGCTTTTAAGGATATCGATGTAAATCAGTCGTTGACATCTTTCCACTGAGGGACTTTCTCTTCCATTTCCTTTATTTAAAAAATTTCGCCTCTAACTATATAGACTTAAAGTCCTCTCTGCAGTCAAATCTCCTGTTGGGCAACCTTCTAATTGTAAATTGTATATCATTAAACTTTTTGTTACAGTTAAACCCTAAATGAGCCATAAATCGAATGAATTTATCAAATGTCGTCTTGACAATGTTTCAATGGGGTTTACGCTATTTAACATAAATCTCCGTATTTGCGAAAAAAAATAATTAACCATTACTGTGCGGGAATAGTTTTAAAGAGCTCCATTTATTCATTTAATTAAACAACTAAATATCTACTGCAACATTCCATTATCAGAAAGTGAAGAATACGACATTTGATGTTGTATCAATGGATTCAGAGAGAAATAATATTTTGCTGTTTTTCAACGATCCTCCGCAAGGTACAGGATTAACCAAAAAGACTAGGTTTTAATGATGACCTGAAAATCTTAAAACACAAAGATCAGAAAAAAGGAAAAATCAAACAAGAGTAACAAAGCGTGAGTTCACTAAAATCAAACAAGAGCAACAAAGCGTGAGTTCAATAAAATCAAACAAAGCGTGAGTTCAATAAAATCAAACAAGAGCAACAAAGCGTGAGTTCAATAAAATCAAACAAGAGCAATAAAGCGTGAGTTCAATAAAATCAAATCAAAAAAATACAAAGATTAATATTGATTTTTTTATTCTCATGCTGCATGAGAATAGGTAATTTTTTCACATTAAACTACAGGGTGTCCCACGAAACATGACGGTTGGTGAATAGTTTTGAATGTCTTCTTCCATATACTGTATTGGATATTAAAGACTTTTTGCATTTTTTTGTTAAAAACATCTTTTCCTCAAACTTATTTTACTTTGAAATCAATTTTACTATAAAATGATTGCCATATAATATTTTTTACATTCTCTTTAGAATCAACAACTTAACTAATTATGGAAGAAGACATTTTAAACTATTCACCAACTGTCATGTTTCGTGGGACGCCCTGTAGCTTAATTTTTAAATGTAGCTTAATCTTAAAATAGTCCAACCTCATTTCTGGTAAATAAAAACTTAAAACACCAAAAATTTGATTTTTAAAACTATAGTTTCCTTTAAAGTTTTGATGCAGCTTCTCAAGTTCACCTTTTCATCACAGAGATCCACAAACTGTAAAAAAATAAAGGATTTTGATTAACAAATTTTCATTACATTGCGTATCATCGAATCTTTTGAAATAAGTTGCACGCTCCAAGCAAAACTTCATAAAATTATCGGAGAAAAGATTAGCAAGTCAGAACAGAAAAAATGACCTTGTCAGAAAGTATTTTGCCCAGCTGACCGCTCGTTAGCTTGGACGCTAATGATTTCACAACATCATATTCATCCACTTCTCTCCCATCGGGTGTCTCGAAAGATTTCCTGAAAGTATGTTTTTTTACAGTGAGAACCGGACTTTGGAAAATGAAGACGACAATAAATAATTAGGTGTGTTTTAAAGCAAATAGTTTTACGAGTAACTTTTTAAATTTGGTTTGTTTTCAATGCATAATTGCGGTGTTTCATGTTTATTGAACAAGTAAAAGTCATAACTTGAGTCTAAAGGTCATCTTCCCATTTCAGAGTTTTGTAGTTGTCACTGTATATAAAAGATTCTTTGGTTTAAAAATTAACAACTTTTACAACTGTTTGCCGGATTTTAATTGAATCTTAATTTCAATAGTGGCACGATTCACGAGGATACCTCTTGAAGCGTATTCTGAACAAGAATGAGTAAGATATCTATGTTATTAACTTTAAAAATAGATATTTTTCAATTGTGTTTTCCATGTTTTTAATCAGATAAAGGTACAGATGACATGCATGCCCCTCTTTTAAATTGAGAGTCGCCGGAAATTAAAATAACTGCATTTTCTTGAAGAATTTTCAAAATCTTTTGATTCTCACTAAAAATCCAAAATAATTGTCTTAATAACAACCTTATAACCAATATTTTTGTTTATTAGATTGGGACAAAAAAAAATTGGTACAGTAATAACCATAAAAATCTGAAATTGGAAGACGATTTCTAAACTTAAGTTAGGACTTAAACTAGTTCAATGAACATTAGACTTTCCCCAGCAAACAAAAACTCGAGTTAAAATCGAGTAAAACTCGACTTTTGCCTTCCAGAAGTGGAGTTTTAATCGAGTTTAGAAGTGGAATTTTAATCGGCTATAGTCGTGCCATACAAGGATTAAAACTCGACTTTTCACCAAGATGATTTCTGGATGATTTCTGGATGATATCTGGATGATATCTGGAT